TATCTGGTTGGTTAACTCCCTCACCTCCTCCAATTCTTTGCTCATATCTTATTTTAATCAATGACACTTTCAATACTTCAGTTCACCCCTCTTCTCATTCAACTTGGCACAGCCAATCCCTTTTATGTTACCTCTTTTAAAAGTCACAATTCTCCAGGGTAAGTCAATTCATTACTCTGGTTTCCTCAGTTTATCGCAATCAAGCCTAGTTTACTTTACTCAAGTCTCCACTGTCATAAAAATCGATTTATTCAATAAACATTTCAAAGTTTCATGCTTTCTTTCAGACTATACTTTCTGTTTTCTATGCCATTCCTATGTATTTATAAAGTTCTACTAAACTGAATCATCTACGGGATCTTCTTTGTGGTCTAATAATTAATTTTCTTATTTTATTTTTATACTTTGTGCACATAAGATATCAAATTTGCTTGGTTCCTACAGTGCTTTATTCATACTACTGTAACAGTGCAGCATTTTTCACATTGATAATTGTTTACATTTTTTATCCCGTCAGCTCACTTACTCCTTCAGGATGGGGCTTACCCATCTTTTTGTTCCCTGCACCTAACTGTAGTTTATGGCTTATACATAGATGGTTTTCAAAATGGTTATTTATTAATGATAGATCAATTATAACTAGCGCTGCTTACACTGAAAGTTTAAAAGTAAATGGAAGACAAGTAGAATTATGATTTTTTTCTTTCTCATAAATTAGATTTTGAAAAAGATGAAAAGGTCTTTGTTCCTTAGTAATGAATTCATGCAATTTACAGTTAATTTATTCCAAACTCCCTTGAGACCATATAATATGATCTGTACCTTCTACAATGAGTCCACCCTTAAATGGTCATGAAATTTTAAAATCTAAATAATACATATTCCTACTCTACTTATAAAAAATTAAAATACTACCAAAGAAGACAAATTTGAGGATACTTGAGGAATGCATGCAACTGCACAGTGGTCAGTAAAAATATTCTTGATACTAACATGTTTTCATGTATTTAGATTATCAATTTTTAAATAATTAAGTGAAAACAAAATGGACTTCATAAAAAGCTACATAACCTAGGCTTCTTTTGATGACTGAAAACATGTTTCTGAAACTTGCAGCGACTTGTTTACCAATATGAATATGAAGTATCTCTGAGCTGTACATATAGAAATATACTTTTGATAGAGATTTCTAATTAAAAGGCTACAAGGCAATAATCTAATATAAATATAATTGTTAAATCTGTATTGTTTATATTAGACAATACAGGTATGACAAATAGGCATTTAAAAATCAAGCAACTAAACTGCTGTTACACAGTGAAACATATTTCCTATGATTAAGTATAATTTATTACCTTGAACAAAGGTAATAAATAACAAGTGCCAATATAATAAAATTCAGATACTAAAAACTAGCTCTACCACTATATATATAGTTTTACAAAAAAAAAAATCTTTATGTTGTAGTTGTTCCTACTGTCTCTTTATTCAAACCTGGACGTCTAGTTTCCCAAGGTAGTTTTCTGATATACTAAAAGAATAAAGTGAGCTTCTTTCATACCCTCCCCCATATACTCTCCCCTGGGATTCAAGCTTAATATGAGTTCCATTTCCCAGAGATAAAAAGGCCTGCATTAACAATGATGTATCCTAGCTTTCTTCTTTTTATAATAAATTACCATATTTATATTTTGGAGCTGTCATATGCTAGAGGATATTAAATATCCTCTCACCATAATTAACTCTTTAAACCAAATTAAATGGTTTGGTTCAAAACACATTGTGAAAGTTAAAGGAATATGATTCTACAACTAATTATTTTGTAATTATTTTAATAATTAGAGCTATGTAATTTATTCCTGACAGATTTTAATTGAGAACAGTGGCTAAAAAGCTCAAATCTTTCTTTCTTTTATCCTTAGAATATAAAAAATTTGGACCATGTATTTCAAAAATTTTGAATGTGTTCACTATAGAGATGATAAATGTTTGAGGAGACAGATGTTTACTCTGATTTAAATATCACACAATGTATATATGTATTAAAACATAACATGGAACTCCATAAATATGTAGAATTTTTATGTAGCAATTTAAAAATAACTGTAAATCAATCAAGCCATCAATCTAAATGGTCCAGCATGTCAATGAATAAAACCTGTGGCTGTTTTCCAGTTACTGGATACATAATTGGAAATATTTGACAACTGACAGAATTTCCACTGGTTTTTGATCTACAGAGTAAGAGTCATTATTCCAAGAAAGGCCAAATAAAATCCCATAAGATTTGGCCTCCCTACCAGAAAAATAAAACAAAAGAAATAAGGTACCCCCAAGGTTAAGTGTTGAGATTACTACCACCATCAAAGACACAGAATAATTATGAATCATCATAAATTTAATCAGGCTGCTATTGCAGCTGTTATTTCAAATGTGCTATCTTTAATAAAGCAAATGAACAGAGCCTCTGAAATCTTAGATACAAGCTGGCAAATAATTTTGTTTCTATACCAATCTAAGGCACTGTCAGAAGATACCAGCCTTTGCCTAAGACAGTGATGGCGACACTTTTAGAGACTGGGTGCCCCAACTGCAACCCAAAGCCCAGTTATTTATCACAAAATAGCAACACTGGAACTAAACCTGAACACTGAGGTTTCACTTTAGAAAAAACAACTCATACACTTGGCTCACATGCTGACAGAGAGGTCTATGCATGCTCATTGCACCATGTATGCCACAGACTTGCCACCACTGGCCTAGGATGACTGTTATCTCTCACAGCTGTAGTACATAGCTCTTCTGCTCTCTGCAATAGTATAATCCAGAGACAGGCATCTTTTTAAAAAATAATAAATATTTAATATTTTTATATAACATGTAGCAGTCTAAATGTTTTAGGCACTATTTTACTGAATTACCATAAGAAGTAGACACTACTATAATCTAAACTAGAGAATTAAGGAAACATAGCAATAGAAAAGTAACTTGAGTAAAGAGCGGCAGAGCTAGGATTGAAATCCTAAGGGTATAATTCCAGAGGCTCTTTGCTAACAAGGATCCATGACACTAGCGTAGATAGAGGAGTTATTTTGTTTGCACATTAATCTATTTGCCCATTGGCAGATTTTTGGGTTGTCTGCACCTTTTGACTATTATAAATAATGTTGTTAAGAAGATTCATGTACAAATTTTTGTATAGATATACATCCTCATTTCTTTTAGGTATATACCCAAGAACAGAATTGCCACATTATATAGTAAATTCACCTTTAGCACTTTGAAAAACTACCTGTTTGCCAGAGTGGTTGTACCAATTTACAATCTCAGTATCATTGTCTGAGGGCTTCCATTTCTCCACCTCTCACTACCACTTATAACTGCCTTATTTTTTTTCAGAGACAATGGTCCTTTTTAATACCTTATGATTGCTTACCGAAAGAGATAAGCATTTTAAAAGGGGAAAGCTTATAGGGATTAGAATTAAACAGGAAACAATTCACACAAAAAGTTGGCCTTGCACAGTGCAGCAAGTAACAGGTAAAACTGTAGGAGTAGCAAGAAAGAAAAATGAATTTTTAAAACAATGTAATTAAAACGACAAAAAGGCATTTAACTGTCATGTGCCATATTTTGTCCCAAATATTTTACTGCAAATTTCTATTTTATTCAGGAAAACCCAAGGTACAGAAAAAAAATAATGTGCTCAAGGTCACAGAGCTAGTAAGCAGATTTCAACTAAGGCAACCAGATTCTAGAATCTGTGCTGTTAATTTCTGTGCTAAAATGAATTTAAAAAGCAAAGAACACTCCTGTACTGCACAAGTAAGTTATATCACTATAAGTCACTGATACTACACTTACAAGTCTACAATTTACAGAGCAGAGACTTTGCTAAACATTATACATTTACTATAAAGACATTTTTTAAATAATGCATAGCTCTCAGATGAAAATCTAAATTGCATGTTTATAAAATTCAACACTGTAAATTGCTAAGACATACAAAAGTTATTTTAGACAAAGATAAATTAATTAGTTAATATATCTCCCCTGGCAATTTGGCAGAGCCATTGTCTAGGACAGTGAGGGGAGGGGAGGGACATCCACATGCTTTATTAAAACCCTTTCTTGGTATCCATCACAAAGCATAGTATCCTTTCTTTGAAAAATCACACTCTCTTAAGAGACTATTGTATTTTAATCTCAGCGAATCTGAAATCTTGTAACAATAACATATCCTCTCTTCCATTATCTATAAAAGGCATACCTTTGAAAGGTAAAATGAATTTCATTATATGCATTGGTAGACTTTAATCTCTTTGCCTCTGTTATCTTGCTTTCTTAGGATTTCCTTGGTTAAACTTTTGTTACTTTGTCCTAATGTATTTACTTACATGCCTTAAACATTTGTAGAACAAAGTAAAATAAAACAAGGTTTTGAGAATACAATATATTCATGCTAACACATCTTCTATAAATGAAGTCATAAAATGAAAATAACCAATAAATGAAAAAGTACTTAATGAACATTATGAAAAATTTTAAAGAATGTAAGTAATTAAAACTTTACACTAATAAGGTATTATGGGTTAATATTTGCTATACAAATACAAACATGAAATAGTCTCCTTGAAAGTAAAAAGACTTATTTTAATACATTTATTATAATACTTTGGATTACTTATTATACTATTATAATACTTAGGATTACTTTTAATAACACCTACTTGTACAATTTAATAAAGTTAATTTTTAAATTACAGTAACTAAAATTTTTTTAAAAGATGCTACAAAACATTAGTTGCCATAGATTAAAAGAATGAATTATCTGTTAAACTCAAGATAGATGTAGATATAAAGTATATTCTACTTACCTTTTTAGAAAGTATTATAAAATACATGTGAAATACCCCATAAACAGTGAAGCCTTATACAGAGTATCATTTCATGTTAAAAAAAAAGTCTTGGGGGAGGAGTGTGGATAACTGTACACTTACCCTTCTCCACCCATTCTTGTTATCTTTAGGCGAAAATCGACAGAATTCAGACTGGGAGGCTTCCATTTCAATATATCATCACACCGACCTGGTTTATATTTCTAAAGTGATATAAATAATGATAATTATTAGTAAGAAGATAAAAATTCAATTTATTAATTGTGATATTACTTTCTATTTCTAAAATTACCAATTCTCTTCTGAACATAATTTTGTGATCTTCTACCACCGAGACTACCTATCTAGCTCTAGAAAAAGAATAAAAGCAATCCAATCTTTCCATGATGTAAAGCTTCATAATTCTTTAAAAAGCACTTCTTATTCAGATTTACCAATAAATTGCAATAAATAAAATTAAGCAATGAACTTTAACAAATAAATACATATAATCACCACCAAAATCATAATATGGAACATTTCAGTGACCAGAGAAAGTTTCCTCCTGACATCAGCAGTCAGTTTCCTCCTCCAAGTCTTTGTTAACAACAATCAGGTTTCAGGCCGGGGATTTAGCTCAGTGGTTCCAGTGCCTGCCTCACAAGTGCAAGGTCCTGAGTTCGATCTCCAGTACCAAAACAAAAACAAAAACAAAACCACAACAATCAGCTTTCTATCAATGTAGTTGCAGCTCTTCTAGAGCACATGAAAATAGGTTTTTCATAAATTTTGGGTAAATACCTAAGAGAACAGAATGGCTGTGTCACATAGCAAACATGTTAAAGAAAACATCAAACTGTTTTCCACTGAAAAACGTGCACACAGATGTTGAGCAGCATCAATCATGATAACCCAGACATTTATAAACTTGTAAAAGCATACACCATTTGTGTGTTATATGACTACAGTGCAGTCCTACTCAGCAATAAAAAGTAGAAAACTACTAATACATAATACCAGCCTAGCTACATCTCAGAAACTTTGTTAAATATTTTTATGTGCTCTAGAAGAGCTACAACTACATTGCATAATTGTATGGAAGGGGAGGGAAGGGGAGGAAAAGGTTAAGAAAAAGAAATGCACAATGCTACAGCTGAACAATTCCTCAAAAAGCTAAACATAGAATTACCGTATGACACTGCAGTTTCACTGCCCTATTATAGTCTAACACATGGAAAACTGCTAGTCAAATAGATACTCGGATGTCATGTTCATTGTAGCACTGTTCATTAAAGTCAAAAGTTTTTATCAACACATTAATAAATAAAAAAGGTGTGTGCATATACATATATATGTATATGCATATGCATATAAAATCAGCCATAAAATGGAATGAAGTTTTGGCACAAGCTACAAAATGAATGAAAAGCAGCATCAAGTGAAATAAGTCAGACAAAAAGACCAAATATTGTATATTCTAATTATAAGATATATGTAGATTAGGCAAAAATTGTAGTAACAGAAAGTAGATTCCAGATCGCTAAAGCTTAGTAAGCAGAGGAAATGAGTTATTGCTTAGCAGTAACAATTTCTGTTTGGTATGTTAACTTTTAGAAATAGTTGTGTAACATTATACATGTGCGAAAGAGGCTATTAGAAAAATGTCTTTAATAAAACTGAACATTTACTATGGTCTTATATAACTTTTTAATGTATATAACATATATATATGAACATATAGCAATCAATATATTTATATATCACTTTAGAGGTATGCTAGTTGGAATGCATTTATTCAACAAAATCAAAATATACTCAAATGGTTTTTACTGTATATATTTAAGGTGTACAACATGATGTTTTGATATACATATATATAGTGAAATTATTATTAAATCAAGTAAATTAACATATTCATCTCAGATAGTTACTCTGTGTGAGTGGGGTGTGTGTGTGTGTGTGTGTGTGCGTGTGTGTGTGTGAAAAAGGATTATGTGAAAACTACTCTTGGCAAATTTCCAGTATACAATACCATATTATTAACTAAGACCTTCATGCGGTACATTTTATCTTCAGGTTTATTCATCCTATATAACTACAACTTTGTGCTCTTTGATTTTCATCTTTCCAAACCCCAATAACCTGCCCTTGACAACCACTGTTCTATGCTCTTTCTACGTAATTGACTTTTTTAGATTCCCACATGTAAGTAAGCTTTCTGTGCTTTATTTCACTTAGCAAAACACCCTCCAGCTCCACTCAAGTTGTTGCAAATGGCAGGATCTTCTTTCTTAAAGCCTGATTTATCCATATAGATACAAATAACACAATTTATCCACTCATCTGTTGAGGGACAGTTAGGTGATTTCCCTTTCTTGATTATTGTAAATAATGCTGCAGTAGATGTGGGGGAACATATATCTTTTCAAGGTACTGATTTCATTTCCTTTGGTATATACTGAGAAGAGGTACTACTAGGTCATACAGTAGTTTTATTTTTAATTTCTTAAGGAACATCCTTAAGATCTATAATAGCTGTACCAATTCACATTCACACCAACAATGTATAAGAGTTCCCTTTCTCCGTACTGTCACCAACACTTGTTCTCGTCTTTTTTAAAAAAAATAATAACAGCCACCTCACTGTGGTTTTGATTTGCATTTAACTGTTAGATATTTTGATAACTACTTTGGAAAAATGCATATTCATTTTTTAACTGAGTTATTTGGTGGTTTTTGTCTCTTTGTTATTGAGTTGTGTGAGTTCCTTACAGTATATTGTTAAATCATTGCCAAGGCTAGTAACACATTTTCTTGTACTTTTATACTTTCAAGTGTTATATTTTGGTTTTTACTGAGTTAGATTTTTGTACATGGTGTAAGATAAGGCACCAATTTCATTCTTTTACACATGGATATACACTTTTCTTAATAACATTTATTGAAGAAACTTTTTTTCTCATCATGTATTCTTAGTGCCTTTGTATAAAAATTAGTTGACTCGGACTAGGGGGTAAATAGCTCAGTGATACAATAAGATGTACTGAGTATGTACAAGGCCTTGAATCCAACCCTTGTACTAAAAGAAAAAAATAGTTGACTGTATATGCTTGAGTTTATTTCTGGGCCCTGTATTCTGGTCTATCAGTCTGTTTTTAATGTCACCATACAGTATTTCCCCCAAAATAAGACCAGGTCTTATATTAATTTTTTGCTACAAATGATACCATAGGGCTTATTTTCAAGGGATGTCTTATTTTTTAATGTACAATAATCTGTAATTATTCATTTATTAATGTACAAAAATCTACACTTATTCAAATTCATGTCATCTTTCTCTAGAACATCATCATAACTCTCCAAACCTGGAATTCTGGTCTGAATTTCTTGTGAATCCATTTCCTGTGGAACAACTGGCCCCAACCTCTCATGTCCAGCAACAGAGTTCTAATTAAAGGAGTATTTCTTGTCCATGTAGCCTGCTGCAGTGTATTGGCAACACAGCTGTCAATGATTTTATACCATGAAGTTTTCACCCAACTCACAACCTCTTGTAGGCTAGGCTTCACAAAGTTTCCATTAAATCAGGAGTTAACTGAAGACTTATGAGACAGGAGTGGCAACAAAAATGATGACAGTTAAGAATGATGGTCCACACAAAATTCAACAAAACATTGTAGGTGGTAAAATTTAAAAAACATGTATTTTACACAACTGCATAAAGTACATCTATTACAATACATGATGTATTGAATTATGAAGATTCATATTAGACTGTTATCAAGTGCCCATGTTATTCGTGCATTGTTTCTGTATTCCTACTGGTCATATGGCAGTAAGTCTCAAGTTCATCTGTTTATACAGGTGTTTACTTCTCCAAAGATATCTTTTTTAGTATTTACAAATAATTATAATTACTATTATCATTTAAGTATCAATGCCAAGAATATTATTTATATTATATATTATTCTATGATTCAATATGTCCATTGTGTGTTGCAAAAAATGTATTAAATGTGTCTGTGTAGTGATCTTAACTGGGGCTTATTTTGGAAGTATGGCTTATATTAGAAGTATCCTGAAAAATCAAGGGAAGGAGTATTTTCCAGTTAGGTCTTATTTTCATGGAAATATAGCATTTCTGCACTATTTTAATTAACACAGTTTAGCAATATAATGTGAAATCAAGAAGTGTGATGTGCCCACTTTTGTTGTTCTTTCTCAAAATTACTTCAACTATTCAGGGTTTTTTTGTGGTTCCATATAAATTGTAGAGTTACAAAATTGAAAATAGTATATAGTACTCTGATAACAATGGCATGAATCTGTACACTGATTTGGGTAGTATGAACATTTTAACAATGTTAATTCTTCTAATCCATGAAGATGGGATATCTTTCTATTTCTATTTTAATTTCACCATTATTCTAAAGTTTTCAATGTATAGATTTTTTCATTTCCTTGGTTAAGTTTATTCCTAGGTATCTTATTCCTTCTTGATGCTATCACATATAGGAATTGTTTTCTTTACAGATAGATTAATACTGGTATATAGAAATGCAGCATATTTCTGTGCCTTGATTTTATATTCTATGACTTTACTGAGTTTGTTTACTAGTTTTAAGTGGTTTTCTAAGGAGTATTTTGGGTTTTCTACATAGAAGATCATGGCATCTCAAAGAGGGATAATTTTACTTGTTCCTTTCCAATTTAAATGCTTTTTTTTGTTTTGTTTTTAAGACAGGGTATCTCTACGTAGTCCCTGCCACCCTTAAATTAATATATAGCCCAGCTGGCCTCAAATTTGCAATGCTCGTGTCTCAGCCTCTTGAGTGCAAAGATTATGTCTTATTATGTCTTTTATTTCATTTTCCCATCTGATTGTTCTTGCTAGTCTTTCTACTATTATGTTGAACAGACATGGTAAAGGGGGATATCTTTCCTTTCTAGTACACCATATATCAGAGGGAAAACTCAGTTTTTTCCCTCTGGTTACAATGTACTATGGACTTTCCATAAGCAAGTTTTCTGTTGAGAAAATTCTCTTCCATGCGTATTTTGCTGAGATTTTCTTAATCACAAAAAGATGCTGAACTTTGCCAAATGCTTTTTCAAGAACCACTGAGACAATAATGTAGTTTTTAACCTTCCATTTGTTAATGTGGTATATCATACTGGTTCATCTGCATGTGTTAAATCTTGCCTCCTGGGGATAAATTCCACT